AAATCCTTTTGGAAAAGGGAAGGTAGCTAGCCTCGGGTTGCTGTGGCTCAGGCCGTTGTCTGCTCACCCAGCGTTCAAGCAAATGGAAATTGATGCAACAATGAAAAAAATACGATGCATTTGCATTGTGTTAATGGCTTTCTTGGATATTTTAGTTTGCAGCATTTCAGTTGCACTTCTTCACAAAAGGACGTCGGGAAAAAGGGAAATGAATTAAATTCCGGCCGACCAAGTTCAGTAATATGTTGCGTTGAGTCATTTTAACAAAAAATAAGCCAACGTTTTTTTCCAACGAATAATAATAAGCAAAAAACGGCCGACGAAGAAGTGTTAAACGTGTTACTGACTTGCGGGAAAAGCTGGATAACTTTCCTGTGATTTGTCGATATCCGGTTATGTCGGTAAAAACCCGGTCAAATGTCCTATCTGTTGTCACACATTCTTGCTTCTTGGCGTTAGTCAGTCCATATACGCTGAAAGAGGAACCACTGACTCAGTTATATTGCTCACCTCAAAATTATTATCTTGAACGACAAAACGAACAGTAAAAAAGACCACAAGAGTTACAAAACGTAAAAAGTGGACAATTGTCAAATTTTCTGTACCTGAAGTATCCAAAATGTTTCAATTTCACATTAGGCTACACTTATGGGCCAGGTAAAATTCCTGAGAAACACGGGTTCCTGCGAATAAATAAGCCTAATGGGTTTGCACATTTTCCGATCACCGTTCAGCGTGGTCACATCACACGTCGATAGCATGTACTTGGACGTGGTAAGTTTGCGATCATGCCTGACATAGCCAGTTTGCTCGTCAGTGATGGACACCGAATACCGAAGGTGCCAGAACCATTTCAATATCTTGGCGAACTATGCCTAGTGAGCTATTGAGTTGAACAGACGGGTCATAACCTCATCGGAGATCCAGCTTGAAAATACTTTGGTTCTCCGGGTGTTTATGGGTAAACCGACCGATTTACCGACCCTACTTACCCTTGACATCATAGATTGCAGATCACCAAAGCTGAAAGCTAACAAGGCGATATACTAAACGTAGTTCAGATCAGTCAGCTGGCAAACGCAACACCGTTAACTTCGCGTAGGATCTTCCCGAGAATCCAGTCAATAGTCTCGTTGAAATAACGGGCACAAGAAAAGGACCTCTTCGAACGTCACAGCGAAAACACAACGGTTCAAAGAGGTTACTATGAACCAGAATATGTGCAGTAGCGGAGAGGTAGAAAACCTTGATTCTGGTGAAGATTGTTGCCGGTACACCATCTAGTGCCACTCTCTACTATGGGGACTCATCATAGACAAAATCGAACGCAGCTGCGAAATTGGAGAAATAGACGGACGTCATTTATCGGTAGCTATGGCTGAATTCAATAATGCGCTTCGGTGTTAATATCTGATCCGCACAGTCACGGTCATCTCTAATTTTGGCTTCGATGTGGCTCATCCTAGAGGACACACAGTCTGGGATCGCCTGAAAAGGACAACAGCGAAGATGTCCGCGGCAACGCCAAAAAAAACTTATGCCGCGGTATCCCTGGCAGTATAAACTCTGACTTATGTCCATTCTT